GGATGATAAACTATGGATTTTCTTTTAATCCGAAACTATAATGTTTTTATTATTTAATATTTAAATCTTTTATTTGGTGCTCAATTATTCATAATAAACTATGGGTTTAGCATTGTTTTAAATCATGATCCACTTCATCTGGGGAATACATGAAAAGTGGAGAAGTCATTTAAATAAGGCTCATAAACCTTAACTTGTCCAATAAGAAAAAATCTCTTACTAGATATTCTAATACTAATAATAAGAATAATAATTATTCTCTTACCAATTAATTACTAAAAAAAAAGAATAATAATAAAAGAACCATTAATAATAGAAAATAAAATAATGATGCTAGACGGGTCACGACTCCGAAGCCTCCGTTTTCGCCCACAGAATGTGCCAAATACAACATATCCAGAATAGGTGAGCTAAGATTTCTCTTAGGATGCGGACCACCTTCGCCAAAGCCGGGAAATCATATGTGACCAACCGAACACCAAATTCTTACAACAACTGAATTTCGATACCCGAAACATTATGTAATTTCTCAGGCCCCGGAAGCTCATCGAAAATCGGCGGAGCATTGTAGAATGGCCCGTCAACTTGCTCTCCGTCGAATGTCAGTTTTAATATATAGTTATGAAGTTCAATTTTTATAATATAAATAATATAAAAGATCTATTTAATTAATGATAAAATTAATTGGAAAATAAATAATAATACTTTAAATATGTTAAAATTAAATGTAGAACGAATAAATATGATAAGAAATGCAAAAATACAAAAAATAATAAAAATTTGGTATTTCGACAGCTATTTTCTGGTATAACTAGTATCACGACAGGTATTTTTCCGATCGGCTAAATTCTTACCAAACGAAAATGAAGTGCGGGCTCCAAACAATTTCATTCTGAGATTGATGGCTCGGGCGAGAAGCTCGTGAACTAGAAAAGGCAAACAGCAAGACCTAAAATTATAAACAAATAAATAACAATCCACGAATGTTGGAAATGATAGAAAGCAATAGTTAGAAAAGCAAAATGCAGTAAACTTTATAGACTCTATTCATCAGGTTTCTCACGAGCCTATAGTTCAGTTCAGCGCCATGGCCATGAGGCATCTCTCCATGTAAAACAACGATCGTATGTCTCTTGTGTATGAAGGTTTTCTGCTTCGTCATTCCCCGAGAATGGACAAATTTGAATATTTTGGTTACGTATCAAGGAATCTTCTCTGTATGCTGGATTCTGGTACCTCGGGTGTTGAATAAACGAGACATTTTTCCACCAAAGCTTGAGTGCCTAAAGAGTAAAAGATATATAGCTTCAAAAGCTACACCATTGTTTCATTTTTATTTTCCAAAATTATTCTTTCTAACCAGCAACTCTTAAAATTTTTCCAATTCTAGAAGCAACAATGAAGGATTCTTAGCCAAGAAAAACCATGCAACCGTATATTTTAAAAAGACAACAGGCAAGTAAAAGATCATTAATGAAGTGAGTTCTTACATGCCAATAAATCCATAATGCAACCTTATGGGGCATCAACCAGAAGAAGCGTGAATAATCTGCTGGCAAATATTGCGAAACTCTTTTGGCTGCCAATGAGGCCGAGAAGTAATTACCGAGTTTCGGATGATGTACTGAAATTACTATGTGCAGATTATCATCTGGTTCGCTTGTTTTCATTTTCCAGTTCCCAAGCATGTCCTGTGATTGCAAAACAGTAACATGAACTACAAAACAGAACATAACTAAAATCAAAATTCATTACAAGAGAATGTACATTACAAACAACCAATGAGCCAATCGAATATATGGGAAAACCCACCATGAAAGGGCTGACATGAAGAGGTTTCGCGACTAAATCTGAGTTCGGGTTGAACACAAATGTCACTCTTTCACCCCATGGCGTGTTAGTAACCTGAGTCCGGTAAAATAAAATAAAATAAAATAAACAGAAAGGCAGAATTTTAGTACATTTATAATTCACTTTCATAAGGCTCGGATTTACACACATCGATTTTTTACTGAATATCGGACAAACAAACCTCGGCAATGCATTTACTCAACGTTCGGGTGGTGCCTTCAACGTCATAACAATAGTACAAACTCAACGGATTTTGTACGTATCCCACGCTAGGCGGTATCGTCAAAAGAAAACTGGTTTGTTCAATTAAATTAATCAGTCTTTATAGAATTCGTTAGACATTCTCCAAGAAAACTTATTAGAAATTCCGAAAACACTCGAATTCTCATATAAACAGTTACAGCACAGTAAAACAAATGACCATATAGGCAGATAACTTCAGTAAATTTATAGTTCACTTCCATAAGGCTTTGTAATGCAATACACATCAACACTGACATCCGAATATAAACCTCGACAATGCATTTATTCAACGTTCGGGTGGTGCCTTCGAGACATCATAGCAATAGTACAAACTCAGTGGGATTTATCACCAACAGAAAACTGGCTTGTTCAGTTAAAATTAATCAAGTCTTACTAACATTTGTTACTCGATAATTCTCATAGCTCATCAGAACCACATTCATAGATGATAAGCACATTGCAACAGTTACAGCTCACTAAATTGGGTATTTGGCACGCCGATTAAAAAAAAAAATCAGCAATTATACTCTGAAGAAATTAAAAAACCCAAATAATGTTGGAATTTAAAAAAAAAAAAGGATGAAGAAGGGAGGGAATAAAATTACACGGGTCCGTTGGTGTTGGAGACACGACGGGCATCCGCGGCGGAGAGGTGGTCCGGCGGCGCGTGGGGGGCAGTGTCGAGGTCGACAAGGGCGTACCGGACGGGGTAGCGGAAGGAGTGGTGAATGGGGCGGCGGCGCTCGTGCCAGACAGTGCCTTCGTAGAGCGAGACGGAGCCTCCGGCGTCCGCGGCTGTGGAAACGCCGCGGATGAGGTGGCGGAATGGGAGGAGGACGGAGAGGAAGAAGGAGGTGATTGTCGTCGAGATGATGGAACACAGAAGATAAATCAGCTCCATTTTAGTAGATAACAAGTGGTTATGCTCAGTACACATTGCACACCCTATTTTTATCTTTGTATTTTTATTTGAGAATTCTCATGGTGATTTGGAAATCTATACATATATAAACAGATAATTTATTTACCAAAAATAGTAGGAAGAAAAATCAACCAGCATTTATTATATTCTATTTTTGGTAGATTTTTTAATTTTCTTTTTAAATTATTCTCAAAAAATCGAGCAGCTTTATAAGCACCCTAAATTTATGGGTTTTGTGGATTTGATTTAGGTAAATTTCAATTGATGCTTACAATTTTGCAAAAGTCAAATTTTTTTCTTATTTTTTATTTTAAAAAAAAAAAGTTGATTACCATAAAATTGAGAATTTCGAATTAGGCAAAATACTATCGCATATATCTTTTCCTAATTGCAACAGATCAATTGTTTATTAAAAAAAATCAGATGCATAGGAATCGAGTTAATTTAGGTAAAATTCGGCATGACAATTTTATAAAAGTCAAAAGTACCTCATTTTTTATTAAAAAATTGTTTAAATTAAAATCGAGAATTTCGAATTAGACAAAATATGTTGTATCCTTACCTAATTGGAATAGATCATGTTTATTAAAAAAAATTATATTGCATAGAAATCGGCCCAATTTCAATTGATAATTAAAATTTAAAAATTCCATATCATTTGGCTACTACTTTCTTAGTTTCAAATTTGTTCAAAACATACAACAAAGTTAGATAATATTAATTTGAAATTCAAAATGAAATCGGATTAGAAAATCCTAAAAAATTGGGTTTTGTTTAATCCTTTAGAATACAAATTTGAAATTGATTACGTACACGTACACAATTTTTTTTTCCTTCCTTAAATTAAGTAATTTACAATTTTAAAATAATAAGGCTATAGATTATCAAAAAATATCTTTTACAATCTCGATCCGTTGTATCTGGCTATGCAATCTTCATAAAACTAGTATAAATCATATCATATATATTCTGCTAAATAATTTAATGGATTTATTTAAGCCTATTTAGAATCCTAATATATATAGGTGTCAAGTGTTTGTTTTCTTAGATACGTTTTACACAGAGGTACATTGTTTTCTGTTTAATAATATATAAGTTACATTTCGTTTCATTTCTGTTTAACAAAAAACAATGTACCTCTGTGTAACCGTATCTAAGAAAATAAACACTTGAAACCTATATATATTATGATTCTAAATAGGCTTAAAAAAATCCATTAAATTATTTAGCAGGATATATAAGGTATGATTTATACTGGTTTTATGAAGATTGCATAGCCAAATATAACGGAGATTGTAAAACGTATTTCTTGATAATCTATAGCCTTATTATTTTAAAATTATAAATTACTTCATTTAAAGAATGAAAAAATTGTGTACGTGTATGCAATTAATTTCAAATTTGTATTCTATAGGATTAAACAAAACTCAAATTTTTAGAATTTTCCAATTCGATTTCATTTTGAATTTTAAATTAATATTATCTAACTCTGTTTTATGTTTAAAAAAAATTCAAAGTAAGAAAGTAGTAGCCAAATGATATGGGATTTTTAAATTTTAATTATCAATTTAAAATTAGTCCGATTTCTATGCAATGCGATTTTTTTTAATAAACATGATCTATAACAATTAGGTACAAATACAACATATTTTGTCTAATTCGAAATTCTCCATTTTATTTTAAACAATTTTTTCTTAATAAAACAGAGATAATTTTGACTTTTATAAAATTGTCATGCCGAATTTTACCAAAATTAACTCGATTTCTATGCAATCTGATTTTTTTAATAAACTATTGATCTGTTGCAATTAGGAAAATATATATGCGATAGTATTTTGCCTAATTCGAAATTCTCAATTTTGTGGTAATCCGTTTTTTTTTTTTAAATTAAAAAATGAGAAATAATTTTGACTTTTGCAAAATTGTAAGCATCAGTTGAAATTTACCTAAATCAAATTCACAAAACCCATAAATTTAGGGTGCTTATAAAGCTGCTCGATTTTTTTAGAATAATTTAAAAAAAAAAAATTAAAAAATTTATCGAAAATAGAATGCAATAAATGCTGGTTGACTTTTCTTCCTACTATTTTTAGTAAATAAATTCTCTCTTTAAATATGTATAGATTTCCAAATCACCATGAAAATTCTCAAATAAAAATACAAAGATAAAACACCTACGTGACACAAACAGAAAAAATGAACTTTTTAGATTGTAAGGTTAAATTTTAAGAAAGTTTATGTGGCGTTCAATATAACTTGAAGTTGCAGAGCTTATATTTTTTATAAAAATGAAGTTGTTAAAACTTAATTTATATAACAAATAATCATTTATTTCGAGTTGCTATAAATTATTATTAAATCTGTTAATTACAAAAATCCTTGATTTCCCACGCCCCAACTGAGCCCAGGTTTCCCAATTACAAAAATTGGACGTGGCTATCAAATGATGGCAGGCTTAAGCGATACAAGCCCAATTAAATGAACATCGTTACAGTGATTTTTAGGCCCACTAAAGGATGGTCATCAAGAAGTCTAAACTTGAGGGCTTCAAAGCCCATTGAATTAATTGGAGTCTTGACCGTGTTTTTATATTTCATTCATATCATTTCTAAATTAGTGCGAGGCTCGTGCAATACATGGAGAAATAACATTATGATTCTATTATAAATTTAATGTATAAATAATATAAATCATGATCTACAGTTAAAATGTTTGTTAGAAAACCGATCAACTCTAGCAGATCGGACATGTAAGATCAGTATGATTTTTTAAATAAATTTAGTTGTATTTAAAATTAATACAAGAAAATGCATATTTAAATAAATATAGAAATTTATAAATTATTTATCAATTAGTTTAAATATTTAAAAATTTTAAATTTTTAGATAATTAATATTTTTTATGTAGATTTATTATAAAAGTATTATATCTATGTTTAAAAATATTTATAAATTAAATTATGGTATAAATAAATAATTAAATAAATAACTTGATCGATTTGATGGCGGTTAGGCGATGAGAACCTTGAATTTACCGTATATTAATAAACATTGTAATACAATATCATTTTGTTCATATGAATAGTCATTCGAATCATTAGATTCTATCCAAAATTTAAATTGAAAACTCATTCCATTGGTATATTTTGATTTTTCATTGGAATTATTATAATGGAAGTTACCAATTTTGCTATGGAGTCATCGCATGGCTCGACTTATAAAGTCATCCACATTTATTCACCAATAGTGTAGTAACATGTGTCCTACATTAAATACAACTAGTACAACACCCGTGTATTACACGGGTGCTCGTTAAAAAATTATTCTTAAATTTTAAAATTACTGAGGAAAATTATTTTAAATTTTATTTACTTTTTATAACAAATATATATTATTATATATTTTAGAAATATATATTATTATACATTTATATTTATAAAATATATAGCATGTATTTATGACGCTATCACAATTATATACGTGTTTTTCATCCAATAAATTAACGAGTACAAAATAATAATTGGGGAAGTGTTTGTCGTGTTTTCACGTGGTACAAAGGAAAAAAAAGAAAGTAATCTATCTATACTTATATAAAAATGCATTCTATTTACTAGAATTAGTAGTAAGAAAAGTTAAAAGTAAT